GTCCCCAAGTTCACTTCATGCTTCCCCTATTCCCACCCCACTGTTCTTTCCCACCCACCTGGCGGCACAGGTTCAAATCCAGGTCGGCTATCATGAGCCCATCCCGGCACCTAGAGGCAGCAGGGGTGCGCGAGCCGTCAGGAGCAGCGAAGTAGGACGAGCCATAGAAATGCCCAAAACGCTGTGGGCCAGCCTTCCCTCAATGCATCCCTCCCTTTCTCACCCACCTGGCGGCACAGGTTGAGGTCGAGGTCGGCTATCATGAGCCCATCGCGGCATCTGGAAGCAGCGGGGGTGCGTGAGCCGTCAGGAGCAGCGAAGTAGGACGAGCCGTAGAAATGCCCGAAATCGGTGTGGGCCGGCCGGCAGTCTCCGGAGGTGAAGGCGTGGGGGAAGGTCTCTGTGCCCACGCGGTTGACTGCCCCCACGAACACACTGTTGGCTATGGCTGCACACCGCGCCTGGTGGGCAGGAGCAGCAAGGGATGCAGAAGCACGGGACGGAGAAGCAAGGGAGGGAGTGATCAGTTTTTTTTTTTTTTTTTTTTTTTTTTTTTTTTTCTTCTTCCGGACATAAGCTATTGCCGAAGTGCCTTGTTTTGTGTAAGACCCAGATGACCCAAGCGGGTCGCTGCGGTCGGACTTTTTGTGGAGTGCTAAGGCCATCCAGTTGAGTGGGTGGGTGGTGGCAGAGCAGATCTTGACAGCCAAACTTCCCCCTCGTGCACTCACTGCCCACCACGTGGCCAACCCATCGTCCACCTCACCTCAATTGGCCACAGGGGTTCACTAAGCCCCCCCACAGTGGCAGACGGGTTGAAAATGATCTCTGCTCCGTTCAGTGCAAAGGCCATCCAGTTGAGGGGGTGGTGGCGGCCGTAGCAGATGTTGACGACCCAGTTCTCACCCATCCCCCAGTTTCCTCGGTCCACCTACCCACCCTCTTCTACCCACAGCCTCACCTCTATCGGCCACAGGGGTTCGCTCAAACCACCCACAGTGACAGAAGGGTTAAAGATAATCTCAGCCCCATTCAATGCGAAGGCCATCCAGTTGAGGGGGTGGTGGCGGCCATAGCAGATGTTGACGGCCACTCGCCCAAACTCCGTTTCAAACACCGGGTGGCCCGTGTTGCCCTCCATGTAGTACGTGCTCTCGTTAAAGTCACCCACCCGCGGGATGTGATTCTGGCGAGGGAGTCAAGGGAGGGTGGGTATACAGAAGAGGAGGCGAGGGTGAAAATGGTGTGAAAGCCGGGAAAGGAAAGGTTAGGTGGGGTGTGAGTGGAGGGCAAAGGCCAGGCATGTAGTTGAGGGGGTGGTGGCGGCCATAGCAGATGTTGACTGCCACTCGCCCAAACTCTGTCTCAAACACCGGGTGGCCCGTGTTGCCCTCCATGTAGTACGTGCTCTCGTTGAAGTCACCCACCCGCGGGATGTGATTCTAACGAGGGGAGGAGGGGAGGGGGTGATGCGAAGGCAGGGAAAAGAGTGGGTTGTGAAAAAAACACAGGGTGGCCCGTGCTGCCCTCCATGTAGTAGGTGCTCTCGTTAAAGTCACCCACCCGCGGGATGTGATTATAACGAGGAGGAAAAGCAGGGGGTATCAGAAGAGGAGGGGGAGGGGATGGCATGAACAGTGAATTTTGAGAATTCTCAAACGTGAAAGGAAGGGATGGGACGTGAGTGAGCCATATTCCCCTTATCACTTCTGCACACAGTGTCGCCACGAGTCATATCCCTTTCAAGCACACTCAAAAACCCCCTCCCCCCCCCACAGTGAGTCCCAAGTCTCACCTTGCGGTGCTTCCCAATGATGTTCCCTTTGTTGCCCACGATAACAGCAGTGTTCCACACAGTGTCGCCGTGAGTCACATCCCTTTCAAGCACATGGCTTATAATCACCATGTTGTGCCGTCTTGCCAGCTCACACACCAATGACACTGTCGGTCCTGCCTCTCTCCCCCTCAAACCACTAGCGCCACCGCTGCCACCACCACCACCACTCCCGCCACTGCTTCTGCAGCTGCTGTTGCCAGTACCGTTACAGCCCATCCCGTTATTATCACCCCCGTTACTGATACTAGCCTCGGGAACCACCTCTGCAAACTCGCACCAGTGCTTCTCTCGGGTACAGAACGCGAAGGGCATCGGCCAGGCCTCCTGAAGGCACAGGATATTGACTCCGCACGACGCTGCTATGTCGATTATCTCTGTCACGCGGCTCATGATCGCGCTGCGCTGCTCCGCGAAAGGCGCTGTGGTGGGAAGCACGAGTCGGTTCTGGACCAGGGCTGCTCGAACGACACGTGGCTCCTGAAGCTGCTCGCGCGCAGCGCCAAACTTGTAGGCCTGGCTTGGGAAACATGAAGTATTTGGACAGAAAATCGCAAAAGAAAAAAACAAAATCATACTCCTTCAAAATTGACAGATCGATGATGTAGGAGCGGGTTCAAAGGAGAAAACGCTTGGAATAACCAGCATAACCAGCGGACAGGAAGTAGTTCAGAAACACCAGATTTTGTATATACGAACAATAGTCACCTGCAGGTCGAAGTCAAGCCGTTTTGCTGCCTCCGCTGCTGCTTCTGGGAGGGTGACTGAAGAAACCAACCCCTCACCGTTGGAATGGCCGTGAAGGACGCGAAGGGCTTCCTGCTCGTATTGAGTAAAGGACAGATAGCTCCAGATTACATCGCAAAAGCTCGGAGAAAAAAGAACAAAGAAAACTAACGTTGCAACGCGAGGTCAACGAGAAAATTTTGTGTGATTTGGATTTCAAGGCTAAGATAGCTCGAGCTTATCCTTGGGAAGATGAGCCTTCAGCATAGCTTCCAGAGTCTCGTGACCGCACAAGGACCCATCAAGAGGCGACGACGCTGCATCTGTTGCACCGTCGCTAGCCATGGACACGAACTTCACAGAATCAGTTTGTGATACCACCTTCGATTCAAGGTTGCAGAATAGCAGTACTATATACGGAGTAATGAAATTGCCAAGGCACGGTGGTGGGTCGAGGACCAGGATTCCGTCAGAACAATGCCGAATTCTGAGAAGGAAGAACCTGGTTGCAGCTTACATGAAGCTGTGAAATTGCTAGGATGAGAAGAAACAGATAAAAGATGAAATTCGTCCCTTTTGTCTGAGGGCCTTCTCTTACAAATGGAGGGCCCTGGGAATGTCGTACACGGTGTCAGAAAGTGATGGTGGCCCCTGGGAAGCCTAGAAGACTGAGGATGTGATTGAAGCGAGAAATTTTTTTTTTTCACGCGATTGGTTCAAAGGTGCGCGGTTCACACTCTAACGAAAGCTTCGAATAAGTAACCAATGAGCGAAGTTTAGATTGTCGGCCTTTGGGTCAGCTGACTCACACGCGTCAATGCCAGAGTGGATGATGCTGTTGGCTGGTAACTTTAGCGTCGCCAGCAAGTAGCAGGCGCTCGCGACACAAGTGCTCCCACGAACTACTCTGCTAGTGTCGTCACATAGAAAGTTACCAGTCGTCACTCCACTTCAAATTGGTACGAAGAGTTACCGTCACATGTGCGAACATTACAAGCACTGGACCACACTCTCTTTGCTTCTATACAATATTTCGGAGCACACCTTATCTCTCGGTTTCATCTCGTTTTTCTTCCACTGTCGCCGGAGATTTCTGAGGCTGATGTAGGAGCTTTCCGTGCCTGTGACCCACCTGCGAGGGTCCAATATCCGTACCGCGGCAGCCACAACAAGCAGTTTTCCTGTCAGATCCAGGTGGCTCGATTCACGCTGGTGAATCCGGCCCGGGACCCGATCATGCAGGTCTCTCCTGTGCAGTTCGCGTCGATTCTGTCCGGATTCTCTGCATTGTCTGCCTGGTGAGGTTCCCAAGCCGCCCACTCCTTATTAGTTTCCACGGCCGTCTTGGTTCGTCAGCAGACAGACCCGTGTCTCAAAACGTGTCAGTGGTACATGGATTCCTTACCAAGGGAGTATGGATCTTTCATTTGGAGCTGTTCTTTCTGGCTTTCGATTTCTTCCCATCGCGCATCCTCCATCCTCAGCTTCTCCCATTAAACCACCTATTCGAGTTCCTTATTTTCGCTCTCAGGTACGGCTACATGTTTGGAAAGGAATCTGCCAGGAAGGAGCTGGACGGGAAGATTACTGAGCTGAGGCTGAGGGTGAAGGAGCTGGAAGAAGGAGAGGTGAAAAAAACAAGCAGGTGACTTCACTTGAAAGTCGACTCAATGGCATGCCACCCAGCTCAATTCCTGAGAAAAAAGAGGCGTCAGTCTCAAGCAGATCAGTTTTTAGTGGATTTAGAATCCACAGCAGCTCGCTAAGGGAGAGGTGGAGGATGCTAGCAGACGCAGCAGGGAGCCTGTAATGAAGGAGCTCGGAGACAAGATAGCTGATGGAGAGGGTGAGGGTGAGGGTGAGGGTGATGGTGAGGATGCAGGCAACATGCGAAGAAGCCACAGCCAAAGGACACTGTGTCTATGCGACTTTCTCTTCGTGACGGCACCAAATCAAGCACAAGGGGAATTACCAGTGTAGGGCTTGGAAATACCCGTAAAGACAAGCAGTTGGCATGGTATTTCAAGGCACAGTAGTTGGAACCAGCACATGAAACCAGCGGATTAGGGTTACCGTATCAGGCACATACACAACAAGTGGTGGAAGACTGGACGTGTTTCCCGAAACAGAGGAGTAGCAGTGGGGCTTGGCTGACACCACCAAGTGCTTACAGGCACTGCACTGCATTACAGTGGGAAGCAGCAATCACAGAGACAAGCGCTGAGCGCACCAGAACGGCTAATCAATATCTAGTCTGTGAATCATAATGCAAGAGCAGCTGTTTGTTGCGACAAAGAGGTGACTGGGTACAGAGAAGCACCTGCAGCAGCCATCCACCTTTACAGTCTTGTCAACATTCTACAAAGCTCCACTTTATTACCATGCGGTACAACTATACATACATCTATCTACAAGTACATCCCCATTTCCATTTTATCTTCTAAGGCTTCTCAACGAGGGTGAGCTGGAGCGAACCATGGTCGCCCACAGAGTACTGCCACTCCCAGGTAGGCCTCCTGCCAGGAAGCTTCTCCAGCCTTGTTTGCATGGCTCCTGATGTGGAGATGACACAATGAAAGGGTGTGCAGGGATGAATTTTGAGTACAGTCAACCCACCACGAAAATGCCCAGAAAATGCTGTGTCTGGCAATCTAAACAACCCCAATTCGATGTCAACCCCGACACGTCACGCCACTCTGCACTGCTCACCTGTTTCCGACGCAAACACAACCATTCGGTGCCGCTCAGGCATGTCAAACACATGATCGCCCACAATCTCCACGTCCCTCGCTTCAATTCCCCTCTCGCATCTAACCCCATCGCATTCAACCACTCTGCACCTATCACTCACCTGTTTCCGATGCAAAAACAACCATGCGGTGCCCCTCAGGCATGTCAAACACATGATCGCTCACAATCTCCACGTCCCTCGCTTCAATTCCCCTCTCGCATCTAACCCCACCGAATTCAACCACTTTGCACCGCTCACCTGTATCTGACGCAAACACGACCATGCGGTGCCCCTCTGGTACGTCAAACACATGATCGCCCACAATCGCCACGTCCCTCGCCTCGAACTCCGCATCACCGCGCAGCACCACTCTCAACGCCTCCTTCCTCTGCACCCGGTCCTGCCAGTAAACGTTTGCCCCGTTATCCCAGTCGACTCCCCTGTTGGTAACCGTCACGTTGTGTAACTGGCACCGACCACAGCCTTGGCCTAGCTGTGTGGTACCGAGTTGGGGGTCCAGAGAGCCTGTGACTGCATCGGCTTCGATCAACAAGCTTCCAGATACCTGCATTGGGGATGATGGGTAGGTGGGGGGGGGCAAATGGTGAGTGTGGGCAATGGTGGGTGAGGGTCCAGATACCTGCATTAACAAGCTCCCATTGACTTTGTTTGACTCACATAGACCCTGTCTGGCTCGCTTTGTCCTGTTTGACTTGCACTGACCCCTGGTTGACTCGCATTGACCCTGGTTGACTCGCATTGAACCCAGTTATTGACTCACATGCACGTCAGACCACGCAAGCTCAGCAATCTCAAGCTTCACTTCAGAGTGCGGCGCCACAGAGCCCCCCTGCACCTGCAGTCAGAGCACGGACACATGGATAAAAGGCAAGAAAAAGAGGCATGAGCTAGGGATGAGTAGTATGAGGTTCGAGGCGCCCCAAATCTCACATCAGAGTGCGGTGCCACAGAGCCCCCCTGCACCTGCAGTCAACACACAGACGCAAGGACAGAGACAAGAGCTACAGGAATGAGTGGTTCGGGAGAAGGAGGGACGTGTGTGTGGGGGATGGGGGGTGCGGGGAAGGGGGGAGGGGGGGTGGGTGGCCAGATGTACCCTTCAAAAAAAAAAAAAAAAAAGAGAGAGAGAGAGAGAGAGAGAGAGAGAGAGAGAGAGAGAGAGAGAGAGAGAGAGAGAGAGAGAGAGAGAGAGAGAGAGAGAGAGAGAGAGAGAGAGAGAGAGAAGACCCAAGCGCACCTTGAAGACCTTTTGCCAGATGATGCAACCGGTAGACGTACCTTTTGCCGGATGATGCTCCAAAGTGGCCCGAGGGCAGGATGGAAGAGGAAGATGAACGGTGGAGATGAGTCCACGTAGCGCTTGTGATCGCTGTGCATCTGACGGTTATGAAGGAAAAAGGGGGTGAGGGGAGGATTATGGGGGAAAAAGGGGGATTGTAGGGTTGAAGGCGGGGAGGAGCGAATTAAATTAAAAGGTGAGAGGGAGATAGGGGAGAGAGACATATGGGATAGAGAAATCGTGGGATGGAAAGTTCTCATCACTGTACAAGCAAGTTTACCGTGTAGCAGCAGCTTGGAACGTCTAATTTTGCATACTGTGTGGTGCCACTGGCTCATTTTACAGCAGGAGCGAAACGTGGTGGTCACAGCAGTAACTCACATGTGGCATGGCAACACCACAGGAGGAAAAGAGCTCCAGCGAGTTGCGGTTCAGATCCAGGAAGGAGCCGTCTGGAGTCTGCAGTGGCAAGGTGGGTAGGAGAGGGGCGAGGAGGGGATGAGTGTGGGATGAGCAAGTGGGACGAGTGTGCGAAGTGGAGGAGAAGAGCTCCAGCTACTTGCGGTTGAGGTCCAAAAAGGACCTGTTCGAAGTCTGCATTTGAACAGCAGACACGTCAGTGGGTGGGGCAAGCAAGGAGGCAGTAGGGAAGTGAGTTGCGGTTCAGGATCCAATCGTACCTGGTGCAGGGACGTGTCTGAGGGCTTGCGCCGGCGTTTGGCCGAAGAGACTTTGCGGCGGTCGTTGTACACCAGAAACGTATCCAGCACCGCCTGTAGCTGATGCTTGCTGTGCTCTGTCTGTCCCACAGCCCCACTGCCTCACTACCCTCTGCCCCACTGCCTGAATCCAGCCATACCTGATGGAGCGACGTGTCTGTTGGCTTGCGCCGGCGCTTGGCGGAGGAGGTGACTTTGCGGCGGTCGTTGTACACCAGAAACGTGTCCAGCACCGCTTGCACCTGTCTCTTGCTCTCCTCTGCTGCATTGTCTTCTTCCCCTGCCCCACTGTCCACCATAGAACCCCGTTCGCCCTGCACCTGTGCTCCACCCCTCCCCTCCCTGCCCTCCTGAACAGTGGCTTCATTATTGTGAGTTGGAGAAACTGAAGAGGCGGCAGCAGTAGTGTCGGTGTCGAGAGGCAGGCGGTATGGGAGGGAGGTGACGAGGAGATCCGCTATGTTCTGCATCGTGCATTCCAGGCGGCCTCCTCGGATGCTGTAAGAGAAGGGAGGGAAGAGAAGGGAAAGACACAGGTCAGGAATGAGTGGTGCGGTGGGTAGTCCGAACCAAAGGCAGGCGGTATGGGAGGGAGGTGACGAGGAGATCAGCAATGTTCTGCATCGTGCATTCCAGCCGGCCTCCTCGGATGCTGCGAAGACGGGATGGAGAGAGAAGAAAACGAAATGAATGGACAGACTAACACAGCAGAGGACACAAAGAGGCATACCTCTGAGTGTGCCCATAGCAGTCTTCAAACGTGATAGTCTTCTTCAAATTCATGATCATTCCCGGCAGCGACGGGGGACTGCTGCTGCTGCTGCTGCTGTTGCTGCAGGGGCTTCTCCTGTTACTGCCACTGCTACTCCCACTGTTTGCCTGTTGTTGCTCGGGCTGCCTACCGCCAAAGAACGCACTCCTGCTGCCACTACTATTGCTGAAGGATCCAACATTCTTAGCATCTGTATGTACATGTACACTGCTGTCAGGACCACACACGCCTGCACAAATCCCACCGCCTGACCGGTCCCCAGGGAAATTTGCGCTGCTGCTTCCATTGCTGCTGCTGCTGCTGTTCAAAGCTGGTCCACAGCACGGCTGCTGCTGCTCTTGCTGCTGCTGACGCTGCTGCTCCTCCCCTTCACCAGCCTCACCAGCAGTCACCCCAAGAACAGCTGCTTCCACAGCGTGCAGATCGGCAAAGAGAACGTTGGTGTTGGCGGGGTATTTCGACTTGCTGCTTCCAGGAGCCACAGGCGCGTCGCTGATGCCGAGCTTCTCAAACTCGGTGTACTCGATGCATGTCAGCCCGTACGCCCACGACCCGTCCGCCTGCTGCTGCTCTGCCAGCACGTTCACGCCCTCCGCTGTGCCAACATTGCGATCGCACGATGCAAACCCGAATTTCTGTGTGGCAGAGAGAGGGGAGGAGAAAGGAGGTAGAGGAGGGATGGGTCCGCCTGCTGCTGCTCTGCTAGCACATTCACACCCTCCGCTGTGCCCACATTGCGATCGCACGATGCAAAGCCAAATATCTGTGAAATAGGGGTTGGGGAAGGAGGAGGGAGAGGAGAAGGAGGGTAAAGAGTTTGCCTGCTGCTGCTCTGCGAGCACGTTCACGCCCTCTGCTGTGCCCACGTTGCGGTCACAGGAGGCAAAGCCAAATTTCTGCATCAGGGAGAAGGGGAAGGAGGTGGTGGGTAGAGGTAAGGAGAAAGAGGGATGGGTTTGCCTGTTGCTGTTGCTGCTGCTCCAAGCACAGACTTCTGAACAGGAAAATAGGCAGCGAGAAACGGAACGAAAGAAAGTGTTGCGCCCGCCCCACGTTCTGTCGGCACAACGCGGAAATGTATAACAGGGAAGGGAATCGGATGTAAATAAGAAGACCAACGGTGGTTGATTACAAGTTTATGTATTCTCACCTTGTTGCCAAAGGTGGTTGATTACAAGTTTATGCCAAAGGTGGTTGATTATGCCAAAGGTGGTTGATTACAAGTTTATGTATTCTCACCTTGTTGCCATGCAGACCAACGCCAGAGAGCGCCAGGAGAGTCATGTCAGTTGCTGCCAAAGGATTGCTGCAGACGAGGAAGGAGGGAAGTGGGAGGAGAGAAGAGGGAGGAGGGAAGTGGGAGAAGAGAATGGGAGGAAGGAAGTGGGAAAAGAGAAGCGAGGGGGGAGGGGAGGATAAGGTCAAGGGTTCAGGTATGAAAGAAAGTGCCACGCAAGTCATGTCTGTTGGTGCTAGCTGCCGAATCACTACTGTTCACATGCCTGCCACCGGAAGTGCACTTTGATCTGCCCTTTGAGTCGACTCAAAAGTATTTTTGTATCTGCATCACGATTGCTGCCTTGCATTCCTTGAAGTGCTACTAACTTCAACACCCACCGATCATAGCCGTCTATGACTTAGCACTTCTTTGAGTGTTACGTTTCTAGACACCACTAACACACCCAGCATACACACATGAATGGCACCACGAAGCTCACCTGATCTGCCTGATGACTGCTGCCTTGCGGCCCTTGGAGCGCAGCCAGTCAAACACGCCCTCGTCGGCTGCGAGCTTCCAGATGACTCCGTGGCCGCCTGGCTTGAGCACGGGCGAGAGAGGGCCGATGGCCAGCCACCTGCCATCCTCTGCTGCCACTGTTGGCACCAGCGGCTGCAGCAGACAGGGTGGAAGGGGTTTAGAGAGGTTCGAAGAGGAGGTATTGGAAGGGGGGATGGAGGGGTTTGAAGTGGGAGCTGGCGACAAGAAACACATATGTGTTAAGGCGTCAGAAAACTAGAACCATACCTGTTGAAAAAGCCGGAAATTTTGCTCCCCCCGCCCAAACCAGTTGTTCTGCTGCAGGAGAGCCAGCACCCTCTGGTGGACTGGCTTCGTCACGTGTCAAAAGAAAACCATACCAAAGCATCTGGAAACAAGAAGCACACCTGTTGAAAGAGCCGGAAGTTGTGCTCGCCGCGCCCAAACCAGTTGTGCTGCTGCAGGAGAGCCAGCACCCTCTGGTGGTTCTTCTTGGCTGCGCTGGTCATGATGGCCACTGGCGTCACGTGCTGCTCGCCAAACACGCGCAAATGCAGATACTCCCGTGCCTGCATGACACAGGGCAAAAACGGGAGTGAGTGAGCAGAGGAAGGGAGAAAAGGAGGGGTTTGTTGTGTGCTTCTCTGGTGGTCAAAAAGCGGGTGAGGGGAGGGAGAAAGGGGGGAAAAAGGGTAGGACATTCGTTCTCAGAACTCAGTTGCTCACCTCCAGGTCTCTCAGTAGCCCGTGCAGCAGCGTGCGGCCGCAGTACGGCAGCATCGCCACTGGCAGGCTCTCGCCTGTTGCCTCGTCCACCAGTCCTAGCCTGTCCCCCGCCCCCCCCAAGGGGTAGATCTCCGCCATTGCAGGCAGCCCCTGGTGTCATAAAACGATGGAATCGGGAGGAGAGGACAGGGTAGAAATACGTCATTTGCAGTGAACTGAAATATGTAGAAGGGAAACATGCAGTAAAGGGAAAACATCTTCGCTTCAGACAAAAGGCAACGGGGAGAGAATGCCCGCAGAACTCACCTCAAGGCCCCAAAACGCTGCCTGGGAGGCAAACTCCGGATCACTAGCCAGGTCTTGGCCAGGGGGCATAAAAATCCGTCGCTGGGATTCGAACTCGGGTCCTTCGTTTTCTCTTTCATTGGCAATCATGTTCTCTGCTGCCAGGGACGTTGCCAGAGTTGTTTCTGTTGCTGCTGCTGCAGTTGCTGCTGCTTGTTGCGATGCAGCAACGGACTGCTGAATGAGGTCCAGACACGTCGACTGATACCTGCACGCAATAAACGGAGGTAAACACAAGGTCTTCTCGTTTTGAGGCGCCTGAAGAGTCAGCTCAGCTCAGACGTTGACGCTTGCGCTTCCGCCACATTAAAAAGCCAGACTTCCCAATTCTATGTTAAAACAACCAGGGAGAGCTTAGGGTTCAGAATCACGTACCCGACGATTCCACCAATGCTGCCGCAACATTGGCAAAAACGTACCCGATATGCCGCCGCCAACGCCGTTTTTGAGCTGACTAGAAAACCAGTTCAGAATAGCGTACCCAATTATGCCGCCAATGCCGTCGTAATCTTACCACTCAACGCAGCATCGCCAGAAGACTCTGCAGCTGCGCGCGTGACTTATAATCACAAAAACCGCGAGCGGTTAATGAGCAGATTTCTGAGGCGCCTAGAAGACAACGTACCCGAGAATGCCGCCAATGCCGTCGTAGAACTTCTCCACTCGCCGCAGCATCGCCAGAAGAGTCTGCAGCTGCGCGCGTGGCTCCTGGTCTCGCAAAGAGCCACCATTATCCTCCCACCCGCTGCTGCTGCTACCACCGTCGCTCGCAAACCCACTGCTGCTGTCACTGTCACCGCCGCCGCGCCTGCTGGCGCTGGTGCTGTTACTGCTGCTGGTGGTGGTGGTGGTGGGGGAGCTTGCACCATCATCTGAGTGCCACTGCCGCTCCCAATCTACCAGGTCCAACAGCGGAGCGCCGAACACGCTCGGATACTCCAGCCCTTCCTTCAGCTGCGCGAACAGCGTCGACGACAGCGACAACGGCTCCGCTTCACCTTTCCCTCCAGAGCTAGCTGCATTTCCACTGGTAGCATCTGAAGGGCCGTGCGCCGATCGGCGGTCCTCCCAGTCGATGAGGTCCATAAGCGGAGCGGGGAACACGCTCGGGTTGTCGAATCCCGCGAGGAGTGCGGGGAGCGCAGAACGCGGGGTGTCTAGCTGCGTGTCCCAGCCGTCGATCATGGAGGCGAGCATGGAAAAGGCTCCCTTCACTCCTCCTGACCCCGCCTTGGCACTGCTCTGGTAATGTGCCTTTTCCCAGATCGAGTCCAGCCCTTCAGCCCAGGCAACCGGAGTGTCCAGCAAATGCCCTTGCCCGGAAGCCACCAGGCACTTGATCAGGTAAATCTCCTCCGCAGTGCAACAATCCAAAGCCATCGAAACAGCAGGCTTGACGAATTTTCCAAGGGAGGAGCCTTGCTGGGGGAAGACGGCGCGCACCCGCGGGTCGGCGCTCAGGATTGCGTCTTTCTCGTCAAGGGTCTGGGCTGTGGAGAGCTGCAGGAGAAGATCGTGCAGCCGATTGGCGTTCTCCGCGAGACGTTGAGATGCTGAAATGGCTGGCTTGGTGCCTTTCGTCGGGTCATGTGAAAGCCGTTGCTCCAGCCGCTGCTGCTGCTGCTGTTGTTGCTGCAGCTGCTGCTGCTGCAGTTGCTGTTGCGGTTTCTCCTGTTGAAGAACCTCCGAATCTAACGAAATGTTGGGGGAGACAGAAATGCTCCGAGGAGCGACACCAACGGATGCGCTAACATCCCGAGGAGGCTGAAAACGCTTCAACGAATTGCTAACATTCCGGCTAGAGAAGGAACCAGGCGCAGCTGCTGCTTTAAGGAGGAACCTACGGCCATTACTCAAACCACCTCTTTTGTTGATATTTTTGGAGCCAGAAACGCAAACCAGTTCTCCCCTTGAAATGTCTCGAGGTAGCTTGAGACCTAAGAATAAAGAACCTGGCAATAGCTTCTGAGAATCACGGACACATCGTGAATGACCACGATCCAGACTACTGATCGTTGTCGGGACTGAGAGTAGACTCTGAGAGACGGACGCCTCGAGAGCCATTCTGTAAGGAAATCTGGAAATTCGAATGGTCGAAACGGAAGCCGCTGTGGTTGAAGCTCACCCAGGGTAAAAAAAATCGTCTCAACTGAGTCCGAAACGGCGCAAACGATCTCGCTTAACCTAGCGTGGCATGCGGAACGAGAAGATTACGATAACATGAAACTGGCCAGGCGGGAAACTGCGAAATGAAATACGCAAGTGAATCCTGCTCTGGCTGGTATTTCTCTGGCTTTCTAGTGAGAGAAGAAAGCCAGCACAAGTGAATTGGGTACACCTAGCTTGCTTCTTACTCCAACCAATTTCTAGGTCTAGCATTCAGCTGATCCATCACACCAGCTGGGAAACGGTACGGTTATAAACGGTGAACGGGGTTTATGAAACGGTAAGATACAAATTCCGCTTGACCGTGATTTAGCGTATTGAACCGCGCTGCATGAACCTTCAGCAAACGGGGATGTTGCAGCTTGAGTGCACCTGCGCGAAAGGGGGGCATCGGGAAATTGTGGCCATAGTACATGTCAGCATGAATTTCTGAGGCTGACGCGAAATTAGTTGGGAACGCCTGATTCGTGCCAAACATCCGAAAGGGCCACGATGGCAATGACCAGTGGCATTTCAGCGGTCTGGCGGCAAAAACGGATCTCCTCTCTGAACGCCGGACCAATCCGGGTGCTGACCGGGGATGTCTTCCTGTTGGCCGCAGTCTGGAAAGGTTCTGATTTGCTGGGTGGGCTTGGCAGGAGTTGAGGTTCCGTGGTTCACTGCGCGCACCAGGAAAGCGAACCTAGAAGATTCCTTTTCTGCTCATCAGGCTGGTGATTCCCGACGGGGATATTCTTTACTGGATGCTCAGCTAAGAATCGTTATCCATTTGCCGAAGATGCCTCCGACCAACCGAACAGGACCGTTGTAAAAGCACCCTGGAGCAATATTTCGTCTTCCACTTTCACTGAACAAAATGTGTAACACAACTCGTCATGTGGGAAAGTAAAGTGTGTTACACTCTACAATACAAGGTCCATAGCAACAGCACATGGTAGGTGGTATGACTGCAATGACATCAATAACTCAACACCAATTCTACATCAGCAAAAGCACACAGACCCTTACGGTCACAACTCATCATGGTCCTGACTCCCAGTTTTACCACCATTTTGCACATTTGACCGTCTCTTGGGAGAAGCCGCAGCCCCAGTAGAGGATGCAAGCAGCGGGGAGCGGGACCAGGGCCAGAGAGCAGAGGTCATCCATCGACGCTCTACACTCGCCTTGAAACTCCAAGGGTCCCACCCCTGCCCGTGTTTCAGCGACCAGAAGAATGAACCGGAAGACGACGTGAGGTACGCCTGTAGTTGCGCTTTGGCGAAACGAGTGTTGATGTCGTCGCTTGTGTCGCACAATAGAGCCAGAGACCACTCTCCTGTGGTGTGTCGTACGGGGTGTGGCGTTCGGCACAATGTAAGGATTGACATGGCACAACATGATCTGGAAATGGATGGCAATGTGAGGTTTGTTCACTGTGACTGGCATCACTCACCCACGAACACGAGTCGCTGGCCTCGTTCCAGCAGGCTGAGAGCAGCAGCGCGCTGCTTCGAGGGGTACTGCAGATTGAAGTCCACTGACTGGGACCCAAACTCCGCATGGTCGTGCACCTGATACCAGTGCGCGTCGTAGATCACATTCGTGTACTGCGCACCTGCAGAGACACAAGACACACACAGGAACAAGGTAGACACATGAAGTGATTATTGAAGTCCACCGACTGGGAACCGAACTCCGCGTGGTCGTGCACCTGATACCAGTGAGCGTCGTAAATCACATTCGTATACTGCACACCTGTGGAGATGCACAGGACACACAGGCACACACATAGACACGCATGCACGCACGCACACACATAGACACACACACAGAATGATTATTGAAGTTCACTGACTGGGACCCAAACTCCGCATGGTTGTGCACCTGATACCAGTGAGCTTTGTAAATCACATTCGTGTACTGCGCACCTGCATCCATGCACAACATAGACGAAAACAAATCCTTCAGACTTGTAAGTTGTAACATTCACGATAGCGCACATCGCAGCAATCAGTGCTTCAGTCCCCTTCCACTGTGCAACCCAACACACTTATATGCACACACATATGCAGGCATGCACGCACACACACGCACACACACTTACTTGTCATAAAGTCATCCCACTCTCTCTCGTTAGCAAAGATTCTTCCAGAAATGACAAAGTAGGCGGAGGGCGAGTGCTCCCTCAGCACCGCATAGCACCGCTCGTAGTAGCGTGCGAGGTCGTCGAATGACACTGCGTCGGCCCTCGGCTCGTTGATTGGCTCTAGCCCTGCAAACGCTGGGTGTGAGGCGTACCTGGTGTGGGTAGAAGTGGGGTTTGGGTTATAGCAAGAGGTTAATCGATGGATAAGACACTGCGTCGGCCCTCGGCTCGTTGATTGGCTCTAGTCCCGCAAAAGCTGGGTGTGAGGCATACCTGGTGTGGGTGGGAGGGGGGGATTGGGAGAGGGAGGGGTGAATGGGAGGGAAAGGGGGAATGCAGGGCGAGCGATGAATGGAGGGAGGGGGGATGGAGGAAGAGAGGGGAAGAGACCAGGGAGACAGGGGAACAATCCCTCTGCACCGCATAGCACCGCTTAGTCGTCAAATGACACTGTGTCGGCCCTCGGCTCGTTGATTGGCTCTAACGCTGCAAATGCTGGTTGCAAAGCATACCTGGTGGGAGGGGAGGATGGAGGAAGAGAGGGAAAGAGACAAGGCAGAGTATTCCCTCAGTACCGCATAGCACCGCTTGTAGTAGCGTGCGAGGTCGTCAAATGACACTGCGTCGGCCCTCGGCTCGTTGATTGGCTCTAACCCCACAGACGCTGGGTGCGAGGCGTATCTGGTGTGGGGGGGGAGGGGAGGACGGGGAAGAGAGAAGTGGGGAGGGGGGTAATGGACGGATAAGACACTGTGTCGGCCCTCGGCTCGCTGATTGCCTCTAGTCCCCAAAGTCACTCCACTACAGCCACCCCCCCCTCAACCATCACTGCCCGTTCTCACAGCTGCTTGAGCAAGCGGGCGGCACCGTCTATCTCTTACATCCAGGCGATCGCATCTCGGGCGGCATTCAACCGAATCAGAACTTACCGCTGCACGAGGAAGCGGACGGCGTCGACCGTCTCATCCATGTAGGGCGTGCCAGGCTTGCCCCACATGGGAATGCCGTCTCGACTCGCGCTGTGCTCCCACCCGTTCTGCGACCCGGGGGCTGCATGCAAGCACACTATAACGCGGATGCTGTGTGTGTGCGCCCAGTCCAGTGCCTGCAGAGATGAGGAGAAAGGGAGGAGGGATTTTTTAAGGTAGATAATTGATGCACGCATGGATGGATCATGGAGACACACTATAACGCGGATGCTCTGTGTGTGCGCCCAGTCCAATGCCTGCAGGTGACAGGGAAAGCAGGGGGAAGAGGAGGTTTCCAAGCGTGGAGCCTTGGGGTTAGTATATAGCCCTAGTTTGCTTTCATTTCTAGCTTTGTGGTCTGAAGAAGGCTAATCAGCCGAAACCGGTTAATCTTTTTTAATTTCTGCTCATAAGTGCTAGTGTACATGTAGTTCTCTACAGTACAGTACTCCCCCCTGGCCCCGCGAAGGAATGCCTCGCGTGGAGCCTTGGGGTTAGTATATAGCCCTAGTTTGCTTTCATTTCTAGCTTTGTGGTCTGAAGAAGGCTAATCAGCCGAAACCGGTTAATCTTATTTCTATTCAACCATCAACTTTTTCACAAAGTTTCTCAAGCAAACAGCTTTTCTACTTTTTACTAAACAAAGTCGCTGCCACGTAACGAGATGGCTCCAACATGGGGCTCCATTGAAAATGCCGTCTCGACTCGCGCTGTGCTCCCACCCGTTTTGGAACCCGGGGGCTGCATGCAAGCAAACTATAATGCGGATGCTGTGTGTGTGCCCTTGCAGTTCAGAACTGTCCAATGCCTGCAGTTCAGAGCTCTTGCATCCACTACCTACCCACCCACCTTATCCAGCAGCTCTAGAGGTGCGACCCACCAACCCACACGGAGGTGCGAGCACGCCACTTGACCCACCAAAACCACTCCCAACACCCACCTTATCCAACAGCTCTAGAGCCCCTGCCACAAATTCTTCCTGTGTGGGGTCAACAGCAACCCACCACCCCACGGGTACCCGTACAGCGTTCACCCCTTGCCGTGCCAACTCCTCACTTACCACACAGCCGTGAATCCCTGAACTGCACACCACACCCAACACCCACCTTACCCAGCACCACTCTCAACACCCACCTGATCCAGCAGCTCAAGAGCTCCTGCCACGAATTCATCCGGTGTGGGGTCAACAGCAACCCACCACCCCACGGGTATCCTATCCGCAGCTCCAAAGCTCCTTCAACGAATTCGTCTGGTGTGGGGTCAACAGCAACCCACCACCCCACGGGTATCCTCACAGCTGTCACCCCTTGCCGTGCCAACTCCTCACTTACCACACAGCCGTGAATCCCTGAACTGCACACACCACACCCAACACCCACCTTACCCAGCACCACTCTCAACACCCACCTGATCCAGCAGCTCAAGAGCTCCTGCCACGAATTCATCCGGTGTGGGGTCAACAGCGACCCACCACCCCACGGGTATCCGCACAGCGTTCACCCCTTGCCGTGCCACCCACTCCTCGAATTGCACACCACACACCCACCCACCCACCCACCCACCTTATCCAGCAGCTCCAAAGCTCCTTCAACGAATTCGTCTGGTGTGGGGTCAACAGCGACCCACCACCCCACGGGTATCCGCACAGCGTTCACCCCTTGCCAACAGAACAGATGCACGCCTGAACTGCACACCAGACAGACCCACCTTATCCAGCAGCTCAAGTGCTCCTGCCACGAATTCATCTGGTGTAGGGTCAACAGCAACCCACCACCCCACGGGTATCCGCACAGCGTTCACCCCTTGCCGCGCCAGCCACTCAAAGTCGCCCTTCCCCACCCACTCCTCCCGGTGCTGCTGCAGCCTCCGCTCCGCCTCCTCCCGCCCTAGAGCGAGCATGAGCTGCGCCTCCCCCCCCATATCTGCGAGCTTGCTGAGGGTGAATGTGCACGTGGTGTCCCACCTAGGGGCGTCCTCACTGGAAGGAAGACAGAAGGGACAGGAGGAGAAGACGGGAAAGAGCGTTACTACTCCTGCCCGAGTGCCAGCATCAGCTGTGCCTCCCCCCCATGTCTGCTAGCTTGCTAAGGATGAATGTTCACGTGGAGTCCCATCTAGGGGCGTCCTTACTGGAAGAGGAGGGGGTTGGGGTTTGGGGATTGTGAGAGGACGGTGGGAAAGCATAGAGGGAAAGTGATAAATCCTCCTGCTGCTGCTGCAGCCTCCTCTCCGCCTCCTCCCGGCCGAGTGCTAGCATGAGCTGTGCCTCCCCCCCCATGTCTGCGAGCTTGCTGAGGGTGAATGTACAGGTGGTGTCCCACCTAGGGGCATCCTCACTGTGGGCGGGGCAGGGGGAGAGAAGGGAGGGCAGGACATAAAGGGATTCACCCCGGTGCTGCTGCAGCCTCCTCGCCGCCTCCTACCTCCCCAAAGCTAGCATGAGCTGTGCCTCCCCACCCATGTCTGCAAGTTTGCTCAGGGTGAATGTGCTCGTGGTGTCCCCACATGGGGGCATCCCATCTAGTGTTCTATTGACTCACTCGATACCCCGTTATAAGACCCGCTATAAACTCACTCGATATCCGCTATAAGCCTGCCATCGTCCAAGGCTTGCACCCAGTTGCCATTGGCTGCTCTCAGCTGCACCATGCCCTCCTCTCCTAGCTTGTGCCTCAAAAGGTACTCGCTATAAGCCCCTCTACAGACTCACTCGATATCCGCTATAAGCCTGCCGTCGTCCAAAGCCTGCACCCAGTTGCCATTGGCCGCTCTGAGCTGCACCGTGCCCTCCTCCCCCAGCTTGTGCCGCACCCAGAACATCTCCCCCTCCTCCTCGTCCTCCCTGGGGACAAGAGTGAGGAGGAAAACGGCAAGGGGGAGAGCGGACAGAGGAGGAACTAGAGATTCAGGTTGCAACAGCCACATGGCTCTCAGCTGAACAGGGCCCTCCTCCCCCAGCTTTGCCGCACCCAGAACATCTCACCCTCCTCCTTGTCCTCCCTGGTCACAAGTGAGAAAAGGCGATAGCAGAGAGGGAGAGAAATAAATGGAGAGGGTTGAAGCAACAACAGTGCTCTCAGCTGCTCCCTGCCTTCCTCCCCCAGCTTGAGCCGCACCCAGAACATCTCTCCCTCCTCCTCGTCCTCTCTAGTGACAGGGAGAGAAAACGGAAGGAAGTGACACAGAGGGGGATGGGGATTGAGAATATCTTGTCATTGTGACAAAGAATGGGGTTCAGCACGGGCAAAGAAAAAGTTCATTCAGATGACAAAAAGAAAGCTATGAGATAAGATCCTTTAAGCCACACAGATGGGTAGGAAAGACGAGAGAGGGAGTGAGAAAGTGGGGTGGGTGAGGTGATGTGTAAAAGAAGTTGCCTGATTTTTACTCGGAATTCAGGGTTCCTGTCTTACTTGTTTGCAAACACCTCGCCACTTGCAGCATCCACGCTCCAAAAGTGCCTGCTGCCCGCCCGGATGAAAAACGCGCCGTGGTCTGCCCGGCGAAGAAAAAACGTCTCCCATGCGCTGGCAGCATCCCTATTGGCCCTGAGCTGGTCGCCGCCCCCTCCCTCCGCTGCCACCCACTTGCTGTCCACGGACTGTAGCTGGATTGACGTGCCGTCCAGTAGATCCTGCCGTTTGGAGAGAAGGGGTAAGGGGGTTGGCATGAGGTTTCGTTACTCCATCGACCACCCACTTGCTGTCCACGGACTGTAGCTGGATGGACGTGCCGTCCAGTAGATCCTGCCGTTTGGAGAGAAGGGGTAAGGGGGGTTGGCATGAGGTTTCGTTACTCCATCGACCACCCACTTGCTGTCCACGGACTGTAGCTGGATGGACGTGCCGTCCAGTAGATCCTGCCGTTTGGAGAGAAGGGGTAAGGGGGTTTGGCATGAGGTTTCGTTACTCCATCGACCACCCACTTGCCGTCCACGGACTGTAGCTGGATTGACGTACCGTCCAGTAGATCCTGAAATACAAGCATGGGAAAGGGGGAAGAGAGTTAAAAGGTAGTTGTTTCCCTGCCCCCTCCCTCCGCTGCCACCCACTTGTTGTCCACGGACTGTAGCTGGATGGACGTGCCGTCCAGTAGATCCTGAAATACAAGCATGGGAAGGGAGAAAGAGGGGTTAAGGTAGTTGAGTCCCCGCTCCCTCCCTCCGCTGCCACCTACCCCACTTGCTGTCCATGGACTGTAGCTGGACGGACGTGCCATCAAGTAGATCCTGAAATCTAGTTTTGAGGCGCCTCAAAACTGGACTGTAGCTGGACGGACGTGCCATCAAGTAGATCCTGCCATTGGGAAGGGAGCGGTCCGGAGATGGACGGGAGAAGAGAAAGGGGGGACAAGCAGGCCAAGCAAGGACAGAACTCCTGCTGAAGAGGTCGTAGGGAGCAGAGCACGCCAAATCAAACAGCGCAGGGGCGTACATCCACGGTTGACTTTTGAGTCGACTCAAAAGTCAACTCGCAGGGGCGTATGTCCATGGTTCAGCAACAAGCAGGTCGTGGGCAGGAGGACACAAGACTTACAGTGAAGACCCCGTCAAAGAGAGCAGGAGGGCACATCCAAGCTTCTGCCACGAGCAAGCCGCCCAGGTTGACTCCGAGGAACTTGGGCAGCATGTCCAGGCGGCGGATAGAGAAGGTCAATGCAACGCCCTGCACCGCACCACACAGCACTGCACCGCAGTGCACCCCAGACCTGACAAGCCGCTTGCACTCACAGTGAAGACCCCGTCAAAGAGAGCAGGAGGGCACATCCATGCCTCTGCCACGAGCCAGCCGCCCAGGTTGACTCCGAGGAACTTGGGCAGCATGTCCAGGCGGCGGATAGAGAAGGTCTCTGCCTCTCCTTGGACCATGGAGGTGAATAGGAGGGATGGCTGTAGGGCGCGCAAGTAGCGCTCGTTGCTCATGGACTGGTGGAGGGGAAGGCGAAAGAGGGAGGGGTGACGAAGTTAGAAGGTCTCTGCGTCTCCCTGCACCATGGACGTGAAGAGGAGCGATGGCTGCAGCGCTCGTAGGTAGCGCTCGTTGCTCATGGACTGGGGGTGGGGGGGGGCAGGGAAGGGAGGAGGAGGGGAAAAGAAGAGGAGCGATAGAATGTGAGAAGGTCTCTGCGTCTCCTTGTAACATGGAGGTGAAGAGGAGCGATGGCTGCAGTGCTCGTAGGTAGCGCTCGTTGCTCATGGACTGGTGGAGGGGAAGGGAGGGTGTGAAGGGAGAGGGAGGGAGGAAGAGTGGGTGAGAGCGAGAAGGGGGGAGAAGAGGCTTAGGGGAGGAACTTGGGCAGCAGGTCCAGGCGGCGGATAGAGAAGGTCTCTGCGTCTCCTTGCACCATGGATGTGAAGAGGAGAGATGGCTGCAGGGCTCGTAGGTAACGCTCGTTGCTCATGGACTGGAGGAGGGGAGGGAGCCAGGAAGGGGGGAAGGGTGGGGGATTATACATGGGGCAAACTAGAAGTGGTGGAAGGCGTGTGATTTAGCTGCTACTAGGAGAAGGGGTGCTAGGGACCTTTGAGAATTCTCAAGAACTCACATAGAAGGCGAATTTCCCCGAGCGGACGTTCCTGGTGACGCGGAACACGTGGCAGTCCAGCAGGGCGGCATCTGTCGGCGTATCTGCCCGGAGCGACCCGTCATCATGTGCCGACAGCACACAGCCGTTGGGGGCCCTCAGGGACACATGCACCTCCATCTCCTCCACCTCTGCTTCCTCCGCTCCCTCTGCTCCCTCCCCCGCCTCCTCCTCTTCGTCGTCTGATCCGCCCTCCTGCTTCCTCCCCCACACGGATTGGGTTTTGTTGGAAGCAGCTGAGAAGCCAAACATGTTCCAGAGGGAGCGAGATGCGGCTTCCCTGCACAGGGAGTGGGAGTGGGGGTGGGCAACAGGGGGAAAGGAGGGAGGGATTGGGAAAAGGCCGACAGCACAGCACACAGCCGTTGGGCGCCCTCAGAGACACATGCACCTCCATCTCTTCCACCTCTGCTTCCTCCGCTCCCTCTGCTCCCTCTGCTCCTTCCTCCTCCTCGTCGTCTGATCCGCCCTCCTGTTTCCTTCCCCAGACTGATTGGGTTTTGTTGGAAGCAGCTGAGAAGCCAAACAGGGATCGCGATGCGGCTTCCCTGCACAGGGAGTGGGAGTGGGGGTGGGCAACAGTGGGGAAGGAGGGAAGGATTGGGAAAAGACCGACAGCACACAGCCGTTGGGAGCCCTCAGAGACACATGCACCTCCATCTCCTCCACCTCTGCTTCCTCCGCTCCCTCCGCTCCCTCTGCTCCCTCTGCTCCTTCATCCTCATCGTCGTCTGATCCGCCCTCCTGCTTCCTCCCCCAGACTGATTGGGTTTTGTTGGAAGCAGCTGAGAAGCCAAACATGTTCCAGAGGGATCGAGATGCGGCTTCCCTGAAAAGGGTGGAGGGATCGGGGCGTAGGGGACAGAAGGGAGGGACTGAGTGTGCTTTGCTGGAAGCGGAAGAGAAGCCGAACAGGTGAGAATTGTGAAGGACATGCTACAACAGAACATGCTCCAGATCAGACAGCTTTTGGGGCGCCTCGAAAGAGCATGCTGGAACAGAACATGCTCCAGAGGGAGTGGGACGAGTCTACTTCCCTCACAGGGCGACAGAGTGGAACGGGGGAATTGGGGCCGGGGGGGAGAGGGATGCGGGGTTGGGAAAGCCCTGAGCAAAGTCTGTCTTCTTGTCTTTCCCATTTTGAGGCGCCTCAAAGGGACGATGCATTCAGATTGTAACCCTCCTCCAGTGCAATCCTCCTGCCCTCCCTCCCACCTTCCACACTCCATCTCCTCTTTCGTTCCTCAACCTCCCTTGCCGAATTCTCAACACCCTCTACACCTCACCTGTTGGGTTCAGCGGTCTTGACAACAACAACAGTCGACACGTCACCCACCCTGCTGCCCTCCTGCCCTCCGAACCTTCAAGGCGGCTCAAACATCCCTGTTAAACATTCTCACCTGTTGGGTTCAGCGGTCTTGACAACAACAACGGTGAACACGTCACCCACCCTGCTGCCCTCCTGCCCTCCGAACCTTCAAGGCGGCTCAAACATCCCTGTTAAACATTCTCACCTGTTGGGTTCAGCGGTCTTGACAACAACAACGGTGAACACGTCACCCACCCTGCTGCCCTCCTGCCCTCCGAACCTTCAAGGCGGCTCAAACATCCCTGTTAAACATTCTCACCTGTTGGGTTCAGCGGTCTTGACAACAACAACGGTGAACACGTCACCCACCCTGCTGCCCTCCTGCCCTCCGAACCTTCAAGGCGGCTCAAACATCCCTGTTAAACATTCTCACCTGTTGGGTTCAGCGGTCTTGACAACAACAACGGTGAACACGTCACCCACCCTGCTGCCCTCCTGCCCTCCGAACCTTCAAGGCGGCTCAAACATCCCTGTTAAACATTCTCACCTGTTGGGTTCAGCGGTCTTGACAACAACAACGGTGAACACGTCACCCACCCTGCTGCCCTCCTGCCCTCCGAACCTTCAAGGCGGCTCAAACATCCCTGTTAAACATTCTCACCTGTTGGGTTCAGCGGTCTTGACAACAACAACGGTGAACACGTCTCCCACCCTGCTGCCCTCCTGCCCTCCAAACCTTCAAGGCGGCTCAAACATCCCTGTTAAACATTCTCACCTGTTGGGTTCAGCGGTCTTGACAACAACAACGGTGAACACGTCTCCCACCCTGCTGTCCTCCTGCCCTCCGAACCTTCAAGGCGGCTCAAACATCCCTGTTAAACATTCTCACCTGTTGGGTTCAGCGGTCTTGACAACAACAACGGTGAACACGTCACCCACCCTGCTGCCCTCCTGCCCTCCGAACCTTCAAGGCGGCTCAAACATCCCTGTTAAACATTCTCACCTGTTGGGTTCAGCGGTCTTGACAACAACAACGGTGAACACGTCACCCACCCTGCTGCCCTCCTGCCCTCCGAACCTTCAAGGCGGCTCAAACATCCCTGTTAAACATTCTCACCTGTTGGGTTCAGCGGTCTTGACAACAACAACGGTGAACACGTCTCCCACCCTGCTGCCCTCCTGCCCTCCGAACCTTCAAGGCGGCTCAAACATCCCTGTTAAACATTCTCACCTGTTGGGTTCAGCGGTCTTGACAACAACAACGGTGAACACGTCACCCACCCTGCTGCCCTCCTGCCCTCCGAACCTTCAAGGCGGCTCAAACATCCCTGTTAAACATTCTCACCTGTTGGGTTCAGCGGTCTTGACAACAACAACGGTGAACACGTCACCCACCCTGCTGCCCTCCTGCCCTCCGAACCTTCAAGGCGGCTCAAACATCCCTGTTAAACATTCTCACCTGTTGGGTTCAGCGGTCTTGACAACAACAACGGTGAACACGTCACCCACCCTGCTGCCCTCCTGCCCTCCGAACCTTCAAGGCGGCTCAAACATCCCTGTTAAACATTCTCACCTGTTGGGTTCAGCGGTCTTGACAACAACAACGGTGAACACGTCACCCACCCTGCTGCCCTCCTGCCCTCCGAACCTTCAAGGCGGCTCACACATCCCTGTTAAACATTCTCACCTGTTGGGTTCAGCGGTCTTGACAACAACAACGGTGAACACGTCTCCCACCCTGCTGCCCTCCTGCCCTCCGAACCTTCAAGGCGGCTCAAACATCCCTGTTAAACATTCTCACCTGTTGGGTTCAGCGGTCTTGACAACAACAACGGTGAACACGTCACCCACCCTGCTGCCCTCCTGCCCTCCGAACCTTCAAGGCGGCTCAAACATCCCTGTTAAACATTCTCACCTGTTGGGTTCAGCGGTCTTGACAACAACAACGGTGAACACGTCACCCACCCTGCTGCCCTCCTGCCCTCCGAACCTTCAAGGCGGCTCAAACATCCCTGTTAAACATTCTCACCTGTTGGGTTCAGCGGTCTTGACAACAACAACGGTGAACACGTCTCCCACCCTGCTGCCCTCCTGCCCTCCGAACCTTCAAGGCGGCTCAAACATCCCTGTTAAACATTCTCACCTGTTGGGTTCAGCGGTCTTGACAACAACAACGGTGAACACGTCACCCACCCTGCTGCCCTCCTGCCCTCCGAACCTTCAAGGCGGCTCAAACATCCCTGTTAAACATTCTCACCTGTTGGGTTCAGCGGTCTTGACAACAACAACGGTGAACACGTCACCCACCCTGCTGCCCTCCTGCCCTCCGAACCTTCAAGGCGGCTCAAACATCCCTGTTAAACATTCTCACCTGTTGGGTTCAGCGGTCTTGACAACAACAACGGTGAACACGTCACCCACCCTGCTGCCCTCCTGCCCTCCGAACCTTCAAGGCGGCTCAAACATCCCTGTTAAACATTCTCACCTGTTGGGTTCAGCGGTCTTGACAACAACAACGGTGAACACGTCTCCCACCCTGCTGCCCTCCTGCCCTCCGAACCTTCAAGGCGGCTCAAACATCCCTGTTAAACATTCTCACCTGTTGGGTTCAGCGGTCTTGACAACAACAACGGTGAACACGTCACCCACCCTGCTGCCCTCCTGCCCTCCGAACCTTCAAGGCGGCTCAAACATCCCTGTTAAACATTCTCACCTGTTGGGTTCAGCGGTCTTGACAACAACAACGGTGAACACGTCACCCACCCTGCTGCCCTCCTGCCCTCCGAACCTTCAAGGCGGCTCAAACATCCCTGTTAAACATTCTCACCTGTTGGGTTCAGCGGTCTTGACAACAACAACGGTGAACACGTCACCCACCCTGCTGCCCTCCTGCCCTCCGAACCTTCAAGGCGGCTCAAACATCCCTGTTAAACATTCTCACCTGTTGGGTTCAGCGGTCTTGACAACAACAACGGTGAACACGTCACCCACCCTGCTGCCCTCCTGCCCTCCGAACCTTCAAGGCGGCTCAAACATCCCTGTTAAACATTCTCACCTGTTGGGTTCAGCGGTCTTGACAACAACAACGGTGAACACGTCTCCCACCCTGCTGCCCTCCTGCCCTCCGAACCTTCAAGGCGGCTCAAACATCCCTGTTAAACATTCTCACCTGTTGGGTTCAGCGGTCTTGACAACAACAACGGTGAACACGTCTCCCACCCTGCTGCCCTCCTGCCCTCCGAACCTTCAAGGCGGCTCAAACATCCCTGTTAAACATTCTCACCTGTTGGGTTCAGCGGTCTTGACAACAACAACGGTGAACACGTCACCCACCCTGCTGCCCTCCTGCCCTCCGAACCTTCAAGGCGGCTCAAACATCCCTGTTAAACATTCTCACCTGTTGGGTTCAGCGGTCTTGACAACAACAACGGTGAACACGTCTCCCACCCTGCTGCCCTCCTGCCCTCCGAACCTTCAAGGCGGCTCAAACATCCCTGTTAAACATTCTCACCTGTTGGGTTCAGCGGTCTTGACAACAACAACGGTGAACACGTCTCCCACCCTGCTGCCCTCCTGCCCTCCGAACCTTCAAGGCGGCTCAAACATCCCTGTTAAACATTCTCACCTGTTGGGTTCAGCGGTCTTGACAACAACAACGGTGAACACGTCTCCCACCCTGCTGCCCTCCTGCCCTCCGAACCTTCAAGGCGGCTCAAACATCCCTGTTAAACATTCTCACCTGTTGGGTTCAGCGGTCTTGACAACAACAACGGTGAACACGTCTCCCACCCTGCTGCCCTCCTGCCCTCCGAACCTTCAAGGCGGCTCAAACATCCCTGTTAAACATTCTCACCTGTTGGGTTCAGCGGTCTTGACAACAACAACGGTGAACACGTCTCCCACCCTGCTGCCCTCCTTCCCTCCCGCCTTCTCCAATCCCAGCGGTTTACTCCAGTCGCCCTCAGGTGCTGCCACCACGGACCAGTCCGAAGCCACGATCTGAATCACCACACCATCTGCACATAAGGACGGAGGGGACCGGCGGGGGAGGGGGGAAAGGGGGACTTGTGTGGAATTCGGCAGCCTAGACGAAAACAACGGTGAGCACGTCTCCCACCCGGCTGCCCTCCTGCCCTCCCGCCTTCTCCAATCCCAGCGGTTGGCTCCAATCGCCCTCAGGTGCTGCCAGCACTGACCAGTCCGTAGCCACGATCTGAATCACCACGCCATCTGCAGATGAGGAGAGGACCGAGGGGCCAGGGGGGTCAGAAGACGATTTTAGAGACGTTAAGAATTCCCAGGTGCCGCCACCACGGACCAGTCCGAAGCCACGATCTGAATCACCACGCCATCTGCACACAAGGAGGGAGAGGACGGAGAGGTCAGGGGGAGGGGGAAAGGGAAGGGGTGGAGAGTGGGGGGAAGGGGGAAGCGCGGGTTGGGATTGGCAGTCTTGACAGCAACAACCACACCAGTGAAAGCGTTTCACTGAGAGACTGGGAGCCCCGCCGCTGGCCTGATGCGTACCTGGGAGGTCATCGGCGTCACTGAGAGAGGACATCTGGAACTTGGCTCATTTGAACGGCATGCTGCTGGGATAGGAGTGCCTAGTGCCTTGAGCGTAGAGGAGGTGACTGTTGAGTCCCTATGCTGTGCTGTCAGTCAGTCAGTGCTGCGTACCTGGGAGGTCATCGGCGTCACTGAGAGAGGGCATCTGGAACTTGGCTCATTTGAACGGCATGCTGCTGGGATAGGAGTGCCTAGTGCCTTGAGCGTAGAGGAGGTGACTGTTGAGTCCCTATGCTGTGCTGTCAGTCAGTCAGCGCTGCATACCTGGGAGGTCATCAGCGTCACTGAGAGAGGGCATCTGGAACTTGGCCCATTTGGCCGCCATGCTGCTGTGAGAGCCGCCTAGAGGCGGCACAAAGGCCAGGAGATTCTGCAGGATGGTGGAGCAGGCGGGGGAGGGAGAGAGCGGATGTTGGAAGGAAGAAAACGGTTGGTTGCGGCAAGAAACAAGGGCAGTTGGAAGGAAGAAAACAGCTAGGTGCAGCATTCTAGGGCTGACCGAAGACTGATACAACATGTACCAAAACGCCTCAACAGGCATGGAAGAAACTCCTGGAGAAAAACGTGAAAACTCACAGTGAGTCCTTGCAGGTAGGCGAAGGAGCATGAGGCGCGGTCACAGGTGAGGCATACCGGGCCTGAGCCTGACTGGTATAACATTTTTGAGACGCCTCAAAAATGCATGCGAGCAGCTGTTGAAGTAGGTGTGAAAACTCACAGTGAGTCCTTGCAGGTAGGCGAAGGAGCATGAGGCGCAGTCACAGGTGCGGCATACTGGGCCTGAGTGGTGGAGTGGCGGGAGAGGGGCTCCACCAAAGTGTAAAGCCTTGAAAGGTAGACTTTCGAGGAGTAGATTACCCTGTGAAATCCGCTGCCAGTTTCCCAGGAGCAGAGCAAGAGCGACTACAAGTAGAGCCTGGGCGAGTGTTGTGAGTTTTCGTTTGGTTAGAGGACTAGCTGTAACACCCTGCCGGGGGTGTCGGGGTGAGGGAAGGGAGTTGCGTGAGAAAGGGGAGGGGAGTGAGAAAGAGAAGGGAAGAGAGAAAGGGGGAGAGGTGTGAGGAAGTGGAGCGAGAGGTGGAAGGAGAGTGAGTGTTCGGTTGAGAGAGTGACGGGCCGAGGGGGGAGATAATGCGAAGCCGATGAGAGAAAATGTGAGGGAGACTGATAGAGACTGCGAGTGCGCATGGCACCAATTACACACTAGCATTACGCATCATTGTATGCATATATGCTCGCACAAGCGTCACGAAAGAAACACCAGTAACACGCCCGCCGATACACACACAGAAATACCTGGTTCTCTGTCTTGGTTACACGCTCCGCACTGGTATCGCCTCCAATCTGACCGTTGTTCTGCAAGCTTGCGGGGGATCGAGTTTCCCTTGCTGCTTTCTCGTTGGATGTGCTCGTATCTCGCTCGTCTTTCTTATCGACCTTCCGTCGCTGTTTGATCGACGTGTGCTGCCTCTGCTCCATCACACATCAGGCATCACCACTACCATTCTAACGCCGACGGCCATGTCGACGGGCTTACTTGTCCTCGTTATTAACCAGCAATGTGCAAGGCGAGGGCTGTCAAGGATGACACTCACTAATTCAGGTCGCAATGTGAGGGGCTCGACTATTAGACGAGAGGAGATCGAGGCTTGCCGAGGCCGTGACTGGCGATATTGAAATCAGCGAGCAGCGAGAGCCTTGAAAAGTAGAGCAACGGGATGAAATTATCGGTTCAGGCACCTGATAGCAGTGTCTGTCTGTTGACGGTTGTGGACTGAGATGAGTCAATGGCATTTTCTAGGTTCTGGTTACAGATGTCAGTGGGGGAAAGGGAACCCTAGAGCTCATCGAACTACGCCAATTTTAGAGAACGATTCAACAAGAGAAGAGTCGGGGTGGGCTAGTAAGGGCATAGAGTGGTCTTGTGCGGTTAGTAAATCATTACCTCCTGTTTATGTTCAATAATCATGGTGTACTCAACAAACCTTAGCCTTGTTTTCAGTTTTATTAGATAAACACCCAAATATGCCGTAAATTTAATTTATGCCTGCTATCGAGCTGTGCAAGGGAATCCTGACTCTAACAAAGTACTTCTCCTTAGGAACCTAAGCTTTGATTTGTCTTCAGAATTAGCAGCTCAAACACACACATGTAAATATTTCTTTCCGAGGAACTCGGACGTGTGAACCTCAAATAGCGAGTGAGTCTGAAACGGAGAACGACAAAAATCATATCCGATGTCTGTTCCCATCTCACGCACTGCAGTTTGAAGCTAGGCAAAGCTTCACAATCGCAACCTAGGGATTGCCATCAACGAATTAGGGTCGGCTCTTGAGCGTAGGGTTCTTAGATCCCGTAATTCTCGCCGTTCACCTATCCATGTTGCGCTCGCCTAGGTGTGTCTTTGGTAAGTGCGCTAAAATCTGCTGACGCATTTTCCTAGGTTTTGCTTCGCAATTAGTTTCCTTTACGATCCGTGTGACTCTAAGCTGTTCGTTTCTGATCGCAGTCGGCAACATCCCTTACGATACTACCGAGGAACAGCTGCGTCAGATCTGTGAGGAGGTCGGGCCCGTGGTTTCCTTTCGGTATGTGCAAGCAGGACCGTCCGATCTTCGTGATCGTGCAAGCTATTTGTCTGTATGGTTTCGGTGCTTCGTGTTCCTCCAGTGTTCCCTGTTTGTATCATTATTGTATTTATTCTTGCATGGAGTTCACGTCACTGAAATCAAGCTTCAGTGTAAACGGAGAGCGAAAATCACAGCAACCGGCAACCTGAACAGAGCGTTTGGAAAGTCCCAGCCGCGGAAAAGGAAGAGAGTTCGGAAAGGCTACTTACTAAGGCCCGCACTTCAGCTGAAAAATGTACCCTATAACTCGGCTTGGAACTTTGCACACGCTCTGGCATTCATGGACCAGACTGGGTCGACCAGCTTCACGTGCTAGCGATTTTCGACCTGGGTAGGGTAATGAATAACCGGGATTCTGAGTACCATGTCTCCAGCAATCGTGAACCAGTGACTTTAAATTCACAGGGAAACAACAGCAGAAGTATCTGACCAGTACACGAACACGCAGGATAGCTTGCAATCGTTGTCCTCGTGCCGAGCTCGCCTGTGCAAGCGCATGAGCGTACCAACAGGACTGATTCGATCTGGTCATGCTGCTTCCATCCTGCCATCGGTTGTATCTCCCGCCTCGGCACCTGCTCCCGGCCTGTGTCTCCACTCTGCTCTCCTGCTTGCTTGCCTACCTGCCTGCCCGCCTACCTGCTTCCCCGCTCGCTTGCTCTCCGTTTTCCCTTCCTGCTTGCCCGGCCGCTTGCCTGCCTGCCTGCTTGCCTGCCTACTCGCTTGGCCGCTTGTCTGCCCGCTTAACTGCCTGCATGGCTGCATCCAGGCTGGTGACGGATAGGGAGAGTGGCAAGCCCAAGGGGTACGGCTTCTGCGAGTACAGGGACGAGGAAACAGCACAGAGCGCGCGGCGGAACCTCAACGGATACGACATCAACGGCCGCCAGCTCAGAGTTGACTTTGCCGAGAGCGACAAAAGCGGCCAGCAAACGGTACTGTGGGGTCCTGTTATCCCTCACTTGCTCCTGTCTTAGCGTGCCCTGAAAATTTTGCGGACGCCGAGAAATTTTCACCAGTGTGGTTGCCTGGCGACTTTAGAGCCGTGCTGCTGTGTGTCTATTTACCTCTTTTTAAGGCGACTCAAGCCACCTCAAATCAAAATTAGTCACTCCGGCTGACTTCCCTGTGACTGGATTGTTTTCAGTGTCGTGCCGTGTGACAGTGGTTGGGGTTCTGGCTGTTGATGTGAGCAGGGAAAAGGAGGACCCGCCGCACCAGGATCCCAAGGATACGGTAAGATTCTTTGTCCTAGTTGGTCGCTGGGCATGTTCGGTTGCTTTTGTTTGCGCTTGCTTTGTTGCTTGTTTGGTTGCCACGTGACTACACTTGTTGTATTGTCTTCTGACTTGGCAACATCCCGTTCCTTTTCTATGACTCTTTGCATCATGTCTCCATCCTGCATGTGTGGGCTCCAGGGTCCGCTCAACAGCAGCAGCAACAGCAACAGCAACAGCAGCATTGAGGTGATTTTTTCGGCGCCTTCAAAATTACTCCATTTCCGTTTCCATGTCTCCTTGCATTGCATCTCTGGACTCCAGGGTCCGCTCAACAGCAGCAACAGCAGCAGCAGCAGCAACAGCAACAGGAACAGCAGCATCCCGGCCGGTACCCCCACCAGCACCAGCAGCAGCGCCGCTCCCCTCAACCGGACCCTTCGTTATCCCAACAATCGTACCCGTCTCCCCCTTTAGAGTCACTCACTCAGCCCATCGGGTTTCCCGCTGCGATAGAAGCAGCTTTTTTTGTAGCACAGGCTCTAGGGGCGCCACCACCAGTAGTAGTGAGGAAGCCGAGGAAGGGAGATATGGCGACACCGGGAGGAGGGGATGCTGAGTCAGCAGACCCGTTGACCAATCAGCTCGCAGGAATGTCCAAGCAGCAACTATATGACCTGCTGGCGCAGATGAAGGTATGCTGGTTATGCAAATTTTTAATTTTGGTTATGATGCCTGTCCTGCTCATTTAGCAAAGCGTAGTTTCTTGTCCTGTACTTTCGGGAAGTTCTTCTATCAGTGTCTCTTTCCTCTCTCGCTTTCCCATATGCCCTTAACCATCTCCCTCCTCTCTCGTACCCTCTTCCCCTACTCTAATCACTTCCTGTCTTCTCCATACTCCTACTACCCAGGTGTTGATTGATTCAGACCAACCGGTCACAAGCACGTGCCATGCTGTTGGAAAACCCTCAGTGCGCTTGGCCTACTTACCCTCTGCCTGTCCCCTCTCTCCGCCCTTGACCCCCCTTCCCCTACCCTCCACTCCCCAGGTGCTGATTCAGACCAACCGGTCACAAGCACGCGCAATTCTGGTGGAGAACCCTCAACTGGCCAAAGGCCTGTTTCAAGTAAGTCTCTTTTGGTTAAAGCCGGAAGCCCAAATTGCACAAGTTTTAAAAAGTTGACGCGAGGGGGGTTTTCTGGTCCGCGTTTTGGCGAGTGATTCCGATTTCGTGAATATCGTTGTTTTAGCCAAGCCCAGCCAGCCCTTGTATTTCGCCCTGGGGGTTGGGTCAGTCCCCGAAAGTCCCAAATTGCAGGTGCGCTACTTTTCAAAGCTTGCACACTGCACTTCGTCAAGTTTTAAAAGCATGACCCATGCGCCTCGCAATTTGGGACTCGGGCTTTAAGACATAAGAGGCCCCGTATCTTTCGTCTCCTCACATCCGCGACTGTGTGTGCATCACTGCATGTGCATCCTTTGCCAATCCATGCCCATGCCCATGCCATGCCATGCATGGATACATTTGCGTGTGCATCCCATGCCATGTGTGCAGGCCCAAGTGATGCTGGGGATGGTCAAGGCCACTGGCGCTGTGAGTTTGCGGGGTGCTTGCTATTGTGGGAGTTGATTCCACCCTTAAGCTGAACAAGGACTATTTTTAACTGAAACGCCTCAACAATGATCTACCGATAGCTTACCAGGGTGTTTTAGTTCGTTCCTTAGCTTTTTGAAGTCACTTCAACACTCTCTTCTACCACCTTCGTCTTAGCATTCCTCCTCGCTCTGTTCCCGTTGCTGCCTCTCTGCTTATCTGTGTCGGGTTCTCTGCACTGCAGGCAGCACCAGAGCCCTCACCACAACCACCGCCAGCCCCCCCATCGCAACAGGTGCGTTGCCTTCCCTTAAAACTTTTTTTTTCAGTTTCCACTGCTGCTTTGCTCCCCTCTGCCGCATATCTGCACTGCAGGCCACTTTTGAGTCGACTCAAAAGTCATTTTGAGTCGACTCAAAAGTCATTTTGAGTCGACTCAAAAGTCACCTTGCAGGCAGCACCAGAGCCCGCACCACAACCACCGCCAGGCCCCCCATCTCAACAGGTGCGCAGTTTTTCCCTTCCTTTTCCACCTCCGTCCCCCCCAATGCTTCCCCCACCTTTTCCTCTCGCTCCCCCCCCTCTCTCTCTCCCTTCTGTGCATTTCTCAACTCGATTCTTCTTAGTCTGGCGTCTATATCGTCTCCCTCCACTCATCCCACCATCTCTTTTCTCCACTCTTCCCCTGCTCTCCTCTGCTCTTTCCTATCCTCCCCTCTCCGCCTATCCTCCCCTCTCCGCCTATCCTCCCCTCTCCGCCTATCCTCTCCTCTCTCCCCCTGCTTCCCCCCCTCTCTCGCCTTTCCGTGCTTGTCTCTCATTGACTCTTCTTACTCTGGTCTCTATATCGTCTCCCTCCACTCATCCCACCATCTCTTTTCTCCACTCTTCCCCTGCTCTCCTCTGCTCTTTCCTATCCTCCCCTCTCCGCCTATCCTCTCCTCTCTCCCCCTGCTTCCCCCCCTCTCTCCCCTTTCCGTGCTTGTCTCTCATTGACTCTTCTTACTCTGGTCTCTATATCGTCTCCCTCCACTCATCCCACCATCTCTTTTCTCCACTCTTCCCCTGCTCTCCTCCCCTCTCCCCTAGCCTCCCCTCTCTCCCCCTCTTGTCCCCTCTTCCCCCTTCTCCTCCCCCCTCTCCTCCTCTCTCTCCTCCCCTCTCTCTCCCTCTCATCCCCTCTTTCCCCTTATTATCGCTTCTACTCCCCTCCCTCCCCTCTCTCCCCCTTTCATCGCTTTTACCCCCCTCTCCTCTCTACCCCTCCCCCTCCCTTCCCTTCCCCCTTCTCCTCCCCCCTCTCCTCCGCCCCCAAACCTTTCCCCCCAATGCAGCGGTCTCAAGGGGGTCCGCCTCTCCCACAAGGTCCCCCTCCCCCCCACCAGGGGAGACAGCAGGAGCTGAGGGGCAGAGTCGCACACTCAGACACGCCCCCTTCTCCACCCCTCTCCACCCCTCTCCATCCCTCTCCTCCGCCCCCCATCCTTTCCCCCCAATGCAGCGGTCTCAAGGGGGTCCGCCTCTCCCGCAAGGACCCCCTCCCCCCCACCACGGAAGACAGCAGGAGATGAGGGGGAGAGGAGGGGGGTATGGTCGGCCCCACCCCTACCAGGTAAGGAACAGTATTAATCTGCCTGAGCCAAAGAATTCTGTCTTGATCCCTTTTTTTGTTTGTTTTTGTTTTTGTTTTTGTTTTTTTTTTTTCCTTTTTGGTCGTTTGCTGAGATGCTGAGACGCAGTGAAATGCACTTGACAGCATTCCTGTAGAGAGCTTCTGTCGGCGAGTCGAATCCTGGCTGGCTATACACGTGTCATTCGTTCCATGGGCCAATCGCTGATGCTCATTCATGTTGATCAAACGCCGTTGGGCTTCTCTTCTCATACGTTCACGTTCTCAGTTGGCTTGCTGCGATCAACATGAGATGTTGCTGCGATCGAATCCGACCTTAAACAACATCTCATGTTGATCAAACGCCGTGGGGCTTCTCTTCTCATACGTTCATGTTCGTGCAGTCGTGCACACATGTGCTTCTACTCATGTGCATCTACTCATGTGCATCTACTCATGTGCATCTACTCATGTGCATGTTTGACCCTGTGCCCATGCGGCATGTGCTCAGGTTTTGAGACGTCTCAAAACTGCACACGCGCACACATGTGCTTCTACTCATGTGCATGTTTGACCCTGTGCCCATGCGGCATGTGCTCAGGTTTTGAGACGTCTCAAAACTGCACACGCGCACACATGTGCTTCTACTCATGTGCTTCTACTCATGTGCTTCTACTCATGTGCTTCTACTCATGTGCATGTTTGACCCTGTGCCCATGCGGCATGTGCTCAGGTTTTGAGACGTCTCAAAACTGCACACGCGCACACATGTGCTTCTACTCATGTGCATGTTTGACCCTGTGCCCATGCAGCATGTGCTCAGGTTTTGAGACGTCTCAAAACTGCACACGCGCACACATGTGCTTCTACTCATGTGCATGTTTGACCCTGTGCCCATGCAGCATGTGCTCAGGTTTTGAGACGTCTCAAAACTGCACACGCGCACACATGTGCTTCTACTCATGTGTATGTTTGACCCTGTGCCCATGCGGCATGTGCTCACTCACACATTTAGATGGGCACATGGCTAAACCCTGTGAAGCGGGCACTTATGGCACGTGTCCGTGCAATGGGTATGTGTGTCCTCCTAAATTGCATCTGTGTGTGCACATGCGTATCTGTCCATGTGTTTGTGTGCTATATGAAGCAGGACCAAGGCCAGCCTCCAATGGACCCCTATGGCCAGCCACAATTCATGGTACCCACCTTTTGCTTGCCTGTCAACATTCTCCACTTTTGAGGCGCCTTTTGAGGCGCCTCAAAAGACAATTCATGGTACCCACCTTTTGCTTGCCTGTCAACATTTAGACCAATGGATCCCCACGTAGGAGGCATGGCGTAGCGTGGCAGCAGCTGTGTTTAGCAAACTGTTGTTTAGTTTGGTTTTGTGCTTGCTTGTAAAAAAAAAAAAAAAAAATCCATGGTACCCACCTTTTGCTTGCCTGTCAACATTCTCCAACCTCCCTCCTCCCTTGTTTCTCTCTTCTTCCCAGCTGAGTTTACCATTTTATTTCTCCTTCCCAGTTTTAAATTTTGCCTGAGACCATTTTTAAGCCAACTAAAAATTTGACCATTTCTCTTCTTCGTTCCAGCCTTTGAATTTTGCCAGAGACTCAGCCGTGGTGGTGCCACCAAGCCACCGAGTTAGTAGTAATCTCTCCCCATGTTCTTTCTTTCACTTTCCCGACTGCAGGATCAGGAGCCACCCCAGCAGCAGCAGCACATGCCCCCTCGCCCGCACTGGCCGCTGCGTTTCTGACATGCCCAAAAGCTCTACTTTGGGTTGAATAAGAATTCCTCTCCTTCTCTCTCCTCACACTTATCTGACTGCAGGATCAGGAGCCACCCCAGCAGCAGCAGCACATGCCCCCTCGCCCGCCCTGGCAGCACCAACCAGCACCCCCACACCGCCCCACTCCCCCTCTTCCCCCAGACACCCCTATGTACTCCCTAGACACGCCCCCGCTTCCCCCCCATCCCCCCCCCGCTGCTGCAGCAGCACCTGGGGGTGGGGGGGGCTACATGGAAGGTCCATCAGGGGGACCGTTGAGGGGAATGGGGCGGGGGGCGAGAGGGGGAGAGATGAGAGGAGGGGAGATGGGGGGGATGGGCGGAGGGGGGATGGGGGGTGGGGGGATGAGAGGGATGGGGGGTGGGCCAGGGTATGGGCCAGGGGGAGGGGGAGGGGGAGGAGGTGGGGGAGGATATGGAAGGGGAGGGATGCTAGAGCCGCCACTGCCATCACCAGTTCCTGCTGCTGCTCCTGAGGTAGGTATTGCAGATAGTGAGAGTGGGATCAGGGAGTGAGAGTGCTGTTTGGAATTTTTTGAAGGAGATGGGGGAGGGTATGGAAGGGGAGGGATGCTAGAGCCGCCACTGCCATCACCAGCAGCAGCAGCTGCTGCTGCTCCTGAGGTTTAGTGTGGTTTTTCTTCTTTCTTTCTTTCCTTCCTTCCTTCCTTCCTTCCTTCCTTCCTTCCTTCCTTCCTTCCTTCCTTCCTTCCTTCCTTCCTTCCTTTCCCCATCTCAAGCAGGTCACATGTGTCGGCCAACTGCTCTCCTTACATTCCTCCCGTTCCCCTTTCCTCTCGCCCCTCTCCAGCCGGTATTGGATGTGGAGCAACAGAAGGCCCTCCTGGCTCAGGTGATGAGCACAACACACTTCCTCTCTCAATCTTCCCCTTTCCTCTCTCATCCCCTTTCCTCACTCTTCCCCTTTCCTCTCTCCACAGCCGGTATTGGATGTGGAGCAACAGAAGGCCCTCCTGGCTCAGGTGATGAGCCTGACACACTTCCGCTCCCACTCGTCCCTCCTCATATCCCCCCACGTTCGTTCCTCTCTCCCCTTCCCCCCACTCAGCCGGTATTGGATGTGGAGCAACAGAAGGCCCTCCTGGCTCAGGTGATGAGCACAACACACTTCCTCTCTCAATCTTCCCCTTTCCTCTCTCATCCCCTTTCCTCACTCTTCCCCTTTCCTCTCTCCACAGGCGGTATTGGATGTGGAGCAACAGAAGGCCCTCCTGGCTCAGGTGATGAGTCTGACACCTGAGCAGGTGAACGCGCTCCCACCTGACCAACGCGCCCAGGTACTGCAGCTGCAGCAGGCGCTGGGCAGGTGAAATCTTCATGAAGCCTCCACTTGGGCAGATGAAAGTATTTTGTTCTGGCCAGATGTGTGCCTCATGTTTAAACATACATGTTGAAGCAGAGCTGATGAGGGGGGGAAGCCCCATCGTGCATCCATTCATCTGTCTTACACTCAGAAAACATATTGGTAGAGAGAGAGGGAGAACGTCCAATTTGGTAGAGAGAGGAGCATGTTGCTGTATCGTACGGGTGCATGAAAAACTTGAGAGCAACAGGTGCTGCAGCTACAGCGAGGCGTGCATGCTGACAAGGCGAGAGAGAAGCTCATGCTTGAATTGAAGCATGGGATGATCGGGCCGTACCTAGATGATGGATCTGCTCCGCTGCTATAGTAAGGCTAAATGCCTGTGGGCATCCTTCGATTGCAAGCTGGCTGGCAGGCTGGCAGGCTGGCAGGCCTTTTTGGTGATCACAAGTGCAAATCGTTGCAACTGCATGCAATGAGTTGTGAAATACGGTTCTGGATATTCCTTCAGAATTTCCTTGTGGCTGCTTGTAGGAGCCTGAAACTGGAGAAAGCAATTTGTTGACATTGTAGTACAGTAATACAACTAAGCTAAAAGCAATAGAATTCAACAGACTGGAAAAGTCACTCGTGTCAAGATGATGCCACTGCCTGGAAACAAGGCCACCTAGGGGCTGGAAAAAATTAGCCTACTGTTGCTCAATATCTATCATGGCCTAAAGCATATTACCAGTGTGTTGTCCTTATAACTGTTGTCATGTCACTATACAGGCCACTTGACAACCGAGTCATAAGAGACCACATGGCGGTTGCAATATCTAGCCTGCACCTCCTTCCCAGGCCTTGAAATTAAAGCCACAGGTGGCTGGCCTTCAGCGCACCCCTTTCCAGGCAGCCCTTGAAGCTTCTCTTACCAGGCCAATTGAAAGAGCTGGATGGAAAGCTAGAAGCCGCAAAGAGACCTGGCGAAGAGGCAAGACAAAAGAGAATCAAAAAGTGCTTTAGCTCGACTGAAAGGGGGGTGAAGCATGCAGCTGAAGCTGCTCGAGGCAAGACAAAAGAGGATCAAAAAGTGCTTTAGCTCGACTGAAAGGGGAGTGAAGCATGCAGCTGAAGCTGCTCGAGGCAAGACAAAAGAGGATCAAAAAGTGCTTTAGCTCGACTGAAAGGGGAGTGAAGCATGCAGCTGAAGCTGCTCGAGGCAAGACTCCAGAAGTTCAATTTTGTTGGATTCGAAACGCAGCAAGCCTACTAGAGTAACGATCTGTAGTACTGAGTCTACTAATCTGAAAATCGAGGGAAGCTGCGCGAGGCAAGACTCCAGAAGTTCTCACAATTTAACAAATGCTTCTGCTATACTGTGCCACGCCATGCCATGCCACTCCATGTCATGCCATGCCACCCCATGCCGTCCCAGTCCACCCCATGCCATGCCATGGCTGCCTGTTTATCCAGTTACAAATGCCCGCCCTGCAGACTCAAATGCCATGCCCACACGATCCCATACCATGACAAACCATGCCATCCCAGGCCACACCAACCCATACCATGTCATCTCAGGCATGCCATGGCTTTCCTACCATTGCTTCTCATGCAGGTCCCTCTCACTGCTCGAGTAATATCCCGCCACAAATGCCCGCCCTGCAGATACAGAAAATAAGACAAAAACAAACAACAAACAAACAAAAAACAAAACTTGACCACAAATCCTACACAAACCTACCATAAGCAAAAGCTTGATACTAACAAGATTCTTGTAACGTCCCTAAGCTTTGTACAAGTCACACTTAAACTCACCAAACCTTCCCACCCCCATGAATGGCTCTTGAAGCTCCTCCGGCTGGCATGTGCATGCCGCCTCACAATCACAAAATTGCTACAGTCACACTCGCTACTGTCACACCTGCTACAGTCACACTGGCACTCACCAAACCTCCCTGCCCCCATGAATGGCTCTTGAAGCTCCTCCGGCTGGCATGTGGACGCTGCCTCTTCTGCAGCCTGCAATACAGTCACACGTGGAAAAAATGTTTTAGAATCATGTGAAATTTTCAGTTTCTTTTTAGCTGACATGTGAACAGTGTTAAATACTCCAGAGGACTCAGGATGCAATCCACACAACGCATGGTGATGGCACGCACGCGCACGCGCACACGCACACGCAAACACGCATTCAGGCACGCACGGACGCACGCACACATGCGCGCACGCCCGCACGCAAGCACGCACGCACGCACGCACGCACGCACGCACGCACGCACGCACGCACGCACGCACGCACGCACGCACGCACGCACACACTCGCTCACCCATTGGTGGTCGAACTCCTCTTGAGGACTCAGCAAGCGATCCACACACCGCCCACTGATGGCACACACACACACACACACACACACACACACACACACACACACACACACACACAACACACACACACACACACACACACACACACACACACACACACACACACACACACACACACACACACACACACACACACACACACACACACACACACACACACACACACACACACACACACACACACACACACACACACACACACACACACACACACACACACACACACACACACACACACACACACACACACACACACACACACACACACACACACACACACACACACACACACACACACACACACACACACACACACACACACACACACACACACACACACACACACACACACACACACACACACACACACACACACACACACACACACACACACACACACACACACACACACACACACACACACACACACACACACACACACACACACACACACACACACACACACACACACACACACACACACACACACACACACACACACACACACACACACACACACACACACACACACACACACACACACACACACACACACACACACACACACACACACACACACACACACACACACACACACACACACACACACACACACAAGCACACGCGTTCCCACGCGCACGCATACACATGCCTCACGGTCAGGCAACCATAGCACCACTCACCCTCTGGTTGTCAAACTCCTCCTGGGGGCTCAGCATGCGATCCACATACCGCCCGCTGATAGCACGCGTGCACACACACGTACATACACACACACACACACACACACACATACTCACTCACCCTCTGGTGGTCGAACTCCTCTTGGGGACTCAACATGCGATCCACACAGCGCCCGCTGATGGCACACACGAGCATCTGACTCTCTGCATCCTCTAGCAGCTCCGCACAGTTGTCGTCACACACTGGGAATGAGGGGAGAGGGGAGAGGGGAGACTGTGAGGGCATGCAGGGGCCACGGCACACGCACAAGCATCTGGCTCTCACATCCTCTAACAGCCCCGCACAGTTGATATCGCACACTAGGAATGAGGAAGGAAAAAACGCAAGAGGTGGTGCTAAGACAGAGTAACAGCAATTGGAGCATGCACAGGCACTGGCACACACGAGAGAGGGGGGATGCGCAAAATTTGGGTCTCAATCTGGACTTTTGGCCCCGCCCTCACTGTGATTTTCCCTCTGTACATGCCCTTTTCTATGCCACCACCCTAATTTTGTGGAAGCAAGAGGAGTTAGAGAAGGCGCGCAAGGAGTGCAGGCAGCAGGTGGATGAGCTTCAGCAAGCACTTGATGCTGCCAGGCACGCTCTGGAACAGTAGCGACCAGGCTGATAGGTGCAAGCGGATAGCTGTCACAAGCTGTTGTTGAAGCGATCTTGTATGTATGTGGGGTGTTTCACTGTGCTCGAACTAGATACTGCAAATCGTTTTAACAGCCTGTGACAGCCACCTACTTGCACCTATCAGTTTGGCGACTGCTTTCCCAAAGCACAACTGGCAGCACCAGGTGCTTGCTGAAGCTCGTCCACCTGCTGCCTGCACTCCTCTGCTTGTCCCATGTGTTCCACCCACACACACACTATGTGCCTGGCCCGTCTTCTCGCACAGGAAAACGTTCTCAATGCAATGGAACGTGCAGTTCCCTCCGGTGCACCAATGGGCTTCCTCCACCCTCTCCCCCTCCACCCTCTCCCCCTCCACCCTCTCGGGCACAACTACCGCTGAACCCAAATCACCTGGCACTTGGGCTTCGAGAGCTTACGTTTCTACCCAACTCACCATGCGCCCTGCCTGTCTTCTCGCACAGGAAAACATTCTCAATTCGGTGGAACGTGCAGTTGCCCCCAGTGCACCAATGCGCTTCCTCCACCCTCTCCGGCAGCTTGTTCTGCTGGCGCCACTCGGCGACAGCTCGCGCCAGGTCAGACGTGACGTGGACCAGCTCATCGTACACCTGGTCGCGCCGGGGCACCAGGTTACGCTTGGCTGCCTGCAGCTGGGCATAGAAGCCCCTCAAGTCCTGCGGGGAGTCGGCTACAAACTCCTTCATCTCCCCACGGTCCCTCTGGAAAAACAGGTGGAAAAAACGTGGGTTCAGAGAGGGAGTAATACAGGGGGCACCAGGTTACGCTTGGGCATTGAAGCTCATCGTACACCTGGTCACGACGGGGCACCAGGTTGCGCTTGGGCATTGAAGCTCATCGTACACCTGGTCACGACGGGGCACCAGGTTGCGCTTAGCTGCCTGCAGCTGGGCATAGAAGCCCCTCAGGTCCTGAGGGGAATCCGCTACAAACTCCTTCATTTCGCCCCGGTCCCTCTGAAAGAATAGAGGGGTTTGGGATGGGATAAAAAAGGGGGCACCAGGTTGCGCTTGGCTGCCTGCAGCTGGGCATAGAAGCCCCTCAGGTCCTGAGGGGAATCCGCTACAAACTCCTTCATTTCGCCCCGGTCCCTCTGAAAGAATAGAGGGGTTTGGGATGGGATAAAAAAGGGGGCACCAGGTTGCGCTTGGCTGCCTGCAGCTGGGCGTAGAAGCCCCTCAGGTCCTGAGGAGAGTCAGCCACAAACTCCTTCATTTCGCCTCGGTCCCTCTGCAACAAGATGTGGAGTTAGAAAG